TTGGTATTTATCCAAAAGGATGTTTAAATAGGATAGGCTACTTGTCAAGCTTCCAGCAGGGTATAATGCCATAAAGTCCACTGCCCAAAGCAGTCATTGTCTCCAGAAGAACTGATCTTGGACATCTCCAGGTGCCGCCTGGAGGTTGGCAATACTAAGGGGAGGGCCAGGTTTGTGGAAGGACTTCAATGAGGCATGCTGCCATAGAGCTCACCCTCCAAAGCAACCGTGTTCTCCACGGGGACTGATCTCTGCAGTTTGGAGATCAATTGTAGTTCAGAGAGAGGCCCAGGCCTTCCCTTTCCCTCCAACCCCTTTCAATTCCAAAGCTGCTTCCTGTGTAACACTTTAACTGATTTGCAGTTTGACTGACTCCCTGCTAATGCCCCAAGAGGGGCCTCTTGGGACTCCCAACTTGGGAGTTGTAGTTCTAATTCCCTTTGCTATGGTGGCAGTAAGACCAGCCGAGATCTACAACTCCCAAGGTACAACGTGTCAAAAGTGGGGGTGGGGGTGTAAGAATGGAGGATCCAGTGGGACAGGCCAATAGGACACCAAGGCAGCTTCCCCAGTGGCCAGTGAGAGAGTAGATGAGTTGTCGCCACCATAAAACATTACAATAAATACAACCTATTAAGATTTGGCGTCCGTCCGTTATAAAGTACTAGTGCTTATGTGGCATGGCCAGTGTGGCCAGGGCTATTAGAACGCTTGTCAGAACAGCTCGGTCTTCACCGCTCTACAGAATTGTTGAAGATCCCGCAGAGCTCGAATTTCAGTTGGAAGGTCGTTCCATAGAGTTGGGTGCAGCTAGGGAGAACACCCTGGTTCTTGTTGCTGTTAACTTAGCATCCCTAGGGCCACGGGGGACCAGGCAGTTTTGTGTCCCGGAGCTCAGTGCTCTTGGGGGAACATACGGGGAAAGGCGGTCCCTCAGGTAGACAGGCCCCAGACCATTAAGGGCTTTAAAGGTCAAAACCAGCACCTTGAAGCTAATCTGGAATGCTATTGGCAGCCAGTGCAGCAACTTCAGCACAGGTTGGATGTGCTCCCTCATGGGGAGACCCATCAGCAACCTGGCCGCAGCATTCTGCACTAGCTGCAGCTTCCGGAGTTGCCCCAGGGGCAGCCCCATGTAGAGAGCATTACAGTAGTCCAACCTCGAGGTGACCATAGCATGGATCACTGATGCCAGATTGTTGCGTTCAAGGAAGGGGACCAACTGCCTAATCAGCCGAAGGTGGTAAAAGGCTGCCTTTGCAGTAGCTGCTACCTGGGCCTCCATTGTCAGGGAAGCATCCAGGAGCACTCCCAAACTCCTGACCCTCGGCGCTGGCACCAATGGCGCCCAATTGTTGGTTGCCATAGCTGCACATCAGGTGTTTGTGGGGACTGGCTAGAAGTTTGGAGGCCCTGCCTACAGTCAGGTAATCCACCTCTAGCTTTCTCAATGGCGTACGTGACATGGCCTATGTAGGCCAGGAGCCTTCAAGTCTGGCTCTTCACAGAGAGGTGTTAAGGAATGTGTGGTTATATGGCATGGCTATTAGGTGGCTCAGGCATCTGGTCTCACACTAGACCATTTGGGGCCTGCAACAGGAAACAAACACACAGAATGTCATACAGAATGTCATCACAGGAGAAGCATGGCCCGGGTGGAAGCTGGACTGAAACGGGTCTAGCGCCACCGCCCTCTCTATTCGTTTGCCCAAATAGGGCAAATTGGAAACCGGCCGATAGTTGGCCAATTCAGCCGGATCCAGAGATGGTTTTTTTAGGAGGGGCGGACCGTCGCTTCCTTGAAAGCCCCTGGGAATAGGCCCTCAGAGAGGGACCTGTTGACAATATCCTGAAGGGAACCTCGAAACCCCTCTCGGCCTGCTCTAATTAGCCAAGAGAGGCACGGATCAAGGCTGCAAGTGGTTGGACGCACCGTTGAGACCAATCTGTCGACTTCCTCTAGGCTGAGAGGGCCGAAACTATCCAGAATGGGACCAGAAGACGTGCATGGAGCCTCAAGTTCACATACTGTTTCAAATGTGGTCGGGAGGTCGCGGCGGAGCGACAAGACTTTGTCTGCAAAATAGCTCGCAAAAGCCTCACAGCCTATATCCAATTTCTTAACATTTTGTCTGCTCTGTGGCAGGGCTGCTAAAGACCGAATCGTTCTATACAATTGTGCTGGGCATGAGCTTGCAGACGCAATCTTGACCACGTAGAACTCCTTCTTCGCAGTCTTCATTGCCATCTCATACGACTTCATAAACATTCAATAGGATGTTCTTGACGCTTCGTCGCAAGCCCGCCGCCACTGTCTCTCTAGCCGTCTGAGCTCTCGCTTCATCAGCCTCAGCCCCTGGGTATACCAAGGAGCCAGCCTAGATCGAGGGCGCAGAGGACGTCTGGGAGCGATCTCGTTGATGGCTGCCGAGAGTCGGTTGTTCCAATCCTCAACTAGCTCATTTAACAAGTCACCAGGGGACAATGGATCCCGGAGAGCCATATGAAGCTTGAATGGGTCCATCTGGCTCCGCGGGGGAGCTAAAATCAGCTCACCGCCCAAACAGGGTTGGGATGACACGTTCACTCAGGCCCTCAGGGCATAGTGGTCCTGTCACAGACCATGACCCCTCCAGGTCCACAGTCTGGGTTCAAAGAACAGACAGCACAAGCACTTTACCACAACTGAAGGAATTTTAGCAACCCCTCCAGATTCAAAAGGGTAGTCTGCCACCAGATTACTTTATTAGTTCCCACCAGGACTGGAGCAAAGTAACCCAAATCTCCAGGCTGTCCCTGGGACACAAATCAAAGAACAGTTCTGCAGTCTCCACCACAGGCTGAACTAAGACACAAGTTATTCTTTTGGTAGTAGAGGCACCTTAAGGTCTAAGACACTGGATTTAGCCTCTTGAGGTTCAAGCAGTCAAAACCAAGACCAAAGTAAAAATATAATTTCTTTATTTAAGTAAATTGTGCAAAGTTAGATAAAACATGAGACTTTAGGCAGTGAAGGAAAAATAATAAATCTAAGCTTATCCAGCATAGCTAATACTTACAAGCAGTTTTGCAAAAGGTTACCCGTTTTTAGGTTCCAAGGTACAAAGTCTTTAAACACAGGCAAAGTCCAAGAATACATCCCCTCCGGGTTGTTTCAAAGTATCAAGGCATAGTGGGGTTGCATGGAGTATTGACTGTCCTGGCCAGAATACCCAAGCAGTCCCATAATGGTCACTAAACACCAAGTTACTTTATAGGAAAAGGGGGGCTGTAAGGGGTCTAGGTAGAGATGTAAAATTTCCAGAAATTTTGAAGCTCGGAAAAAAACGGAAATTTTCGGAAAAATTGAAAAAAATGCTACATTAGCATTTCTTTTGTCTTTTCTAGATTGAAAGTCAGTCTGTTACTTTAGGAACATAAAATATGACTATGGACATTTTTATTTGGCATGAAATTATCACAACTAGCATATTAAAAATATAGTGTATCCAAACAATTATTACAAACAGAATACCCACCCACATGCAAAAACAAAACTGAAACCTTTTTATTTTCTTCTGACAATAGCACCCCCTAAAGGAAGAAATGCATCTTGTTCTTGCATTGGAGAGTTCAGTTTGTAACCTAGGACTTGCTTGTCCTCAGTGCACAGAAAATATATAAAACTTTTTTAGCCCTGGTTATGGTTATGTTTTATATATATTGGTTGTAATTGGGCCCCTATATATGTTTTAATTTGTTATTATTAATAAATACATGTACCTCTTTTTATGAAAAGGTTTTAATATTGGCCCTCCTTTCCACTAACCTTTGTTTGGTTTTGGAAAATATTTGAACACCTTGTCTTAAAATATTTTATTCATCATGTTAAAATAAAACGTTCCATAATCATTTTTTCTTTTCTTTTCTTTTTTCAATTTTTCCAATTTTTCGGAAAAAAACAAAAAATCTTCAGGGGAAAAAACGGGAAAAAACCGGTTTCCCCCCGAATTTTTCCGTTTTTTTTCCGGGCCTTCACATCTCTAGGTCTAGGCCTCTGACCACTCACAGTCCTGCAAAGTGATGTCAACTTTGCTTGTAACCAGGGTGACCAAACTATCCCATAATAACTAACAGTTAGGTCTCATTCCCCCTACACACAGGTGCTCGTACTTGGGAATGCACTAATTGGATAATTGCTCACAGGCCGGATAATTGCTCACAGGCCGGATAATTGCTCACAACAGAGTACAGGCAGCTGTGAACTCAAGGACATTTGCTCTCCTCTTTTCAGTATCTTCCTCTGTCTCCAGGGAAACTTATGCACCTCATTAGCTTCTCATAAGCACACTCTGAAAGGCATTTTACGACCTAACCAGGCTTCAGAAGCCTGGATAAGACTTTTTAGTCAACTAATCTAAGCAAGCAAAAAATGGTGTCTGACTTTCGTTACAGGCCCAACCATGGAACTGCCGTAGCAGTAATCATGGTCCACTGTGATCCCAGCCGCGAAGATCAAATCGAGCGTGTGACCGGCCTGATGAGTGGGGGCTGTTACATATTGGGAAAGTCCCATGGACGATGCTAAAACATGAAATCATTACACCTGGCCTCACATACTTCCTTATACAAGTCTGGGGACTTCTCAGTGTCCATGGATGGGTTTGGTACAGATCCAGTGTCTGCTATTGTCACACCAGGTTGAACTGGGGCTTCGTTCATTCATGTATGAGCAAAGGCCTTCCCCCAAAATCGGAAACCTGCAAGACAATCAGCCCCAGAGTTAGAACCGGCAGTCTCTCGTGCTGTGTGCCAAAGTAAACAAGGGGCCTTTGAATGATGGGAAAAGGAGATTCCCCCAACTTGTGCTCCCTTCATATGCTAGACATGGCCAGACCCTTCTCTCTCTTAAAAACCCCTCTTGTAAAATAGAGCTTGGCACGTGGTCTGCTGAAATAAGCAGTGTTACATCTGAGGAGAGGACTTTGTGAGAGCATCACTCCTTTTGCAGGTTCATAAAATTCCACCTTCGCCGCTGGGGAGAAAGGCAGGGCATGAATGAAGGAAAGGGGTGACCCTGATCTTTCAGAAATCCCATCCCCCCTGTCAGAGACTGCTTTGCTTAAGCTATAAGTTACAAGATAAACACACACACCCCCATGCCCTGATGCTTCTCACTCTGCATTTTTGGGCCATCCCAGTTCATTCTTGCCATCTTCTGTCCAATCCTACACCTCTTGGCATTTTAAAGAAATATGTACACACCTTTCCACGGCACCAATAGTTATAAAAAGGGCACGAGAACAAACCGTTAACTAAATGTGCAACACACACCACACACCAAGACCAGCACAAAAACAGCCAGAGAAAATTTCCTGGTAGACAGTCTCCTGGCAGTTAGCCTGGTAAAATAAAAGTGCCATCGAAGGAGGAGGAGGAGGAGGAAGAGATTGGATTTATACCCCGCCCTTCACTACCCGAAGGAGTCTCAGAGCGGCTTACAATCTCCTTTCCCTTCCCCTCTCCAAAACAGACACCCTGTGAGGTATAGGTGGAGCTGAGAGCCCTCCGAGAGAACGGCTCTTGAGAGAACAGCTCTGAGAGAACTTGTGACTGACCCAAGGTCACACCAGCAGCTGTATGCGGAGGAGTGAGGAATCAAACCTGGTTCTCCCAGGTTAGAGTCCACACTCCTCACCCACTACACCCTGTGAGGTAGGTGGGGCTGAGAGAGCTCTTTCAAAGACTGCTCCTGAGAGAACAGCTCTGAGAGAACATGCAGAAATCCACTGCTGCTGCCATGCCTTCAGACAGTGCTGCAGATCCAAAGCAAACTTAGAAGAGCTGGGAGTGATTGGGGCAGGATGTGAAACAGCCAAAACTCAAAAGGAGAGACTTACCAAAGAGAGTAGTTCTCACTTATGTTCAGAGACACTCCACACAAAAGCAGCATGTGAGACAAAATGAGAAAGGGTTGGCGAAAAAAAAGACATACACATTTCTAGAGAGCCTTTTCCACATTGACCGTCTGCTGTACTTTCAAGCAAGGAAAGAATTACCAACAAAAAGCAGTCTGACAATGTTTCGTGTAAATATTCCTTTATGTATGACCTAAAAATCCTCTGCCTCAAGCCCCTGGCCCAGTGCTTGAAAAAGACTCACGTGTTGTTGAAGAGGGATCCATCGGCCTGTTTCCAAGGCTTTCCTACCCCTTCTCTCCAAAAGTCAAGCCAGAAATAAGTTAGACGTCGAGAGTCCAGGACAAATTCCTTAAAAACAAAAAAGTTATCATTTAAAATCCATTTTAAAAGGGGTTTTAAAACCTTGCAGTGTTTTCATTTCAGAGTTCATTTACAAGAGCCAGATCTGACATAAATGTTACTTTTCGGACTGGGCCATGCGTGCCATAAAAAGTAATGCCAGTTACTGGAGATAGAAACTGTATAAAGGACAGCAGCTGGGATGCTGAGTTGGTGCATCCTCACGGCAAGGCCCCATGTACTGGGGGGGGGGAGGCAGAGTGGAGAGCCAGCAGTGCAGCGTTGGACAGATGCTACCATGCTGCCTGACTGCTGCTCCGCCACGCTGAAACCACAATCCCCCCCCCCCCCCCCCAGCAGTCTCCTGTTTCCTCCCTTGCACTGGTTGCTCCTGGGCTGCATAAGAGCCCTAGATGGGCAGGTTCCGCCCCCCAGACCTTATGTTTGACACCCCAGCTCTATCACCTATCCCCCTACCTTTAATTCCATGAATGAAGGACTTTAATCCTCCACTTCCCCAACTATGACACACCCCAACTGGCTCCTCTGTTGTCAAGCACCCACTATCAAATTCAAAAAGTCTTACACCATTATAGGTAAAGGTAAAGGTTCCCTTGCTCGAAAGCCAGTCGAGTCCGACTCTAGGGTTGCGGTGCTTATCTCCGTTTCAAAGCCAAAGAGCCAGCGCTGTCCGAAGATGTTTCCGTGGTCATGTGGCCAGCATGACTAAACAGCAAGGCGCACGGAACGCTGTTACCTTCCCACTGAAGTGGCACCTATTTATCTACTTGCAATTTCTTGCTTTCGAACTGCTAGGTTGGCAGGAGCTGGAACTAGAGACGGGAGCTCACTCCGTTATGTGGCAACTCGGTTCTCGAACTGCTGAACTACTGACCTTCCACAGCCTGCAGTTCAGCATCTTAACCACTTGAGCCACCGGAGCTCCTACACCATTATACCCATTTATTATTTTAAGTGTTCAACAAATCCATGAATGGATTCCCACAAAAGCCTGGGGGAAAAACCAGTTTAATCACACACCAAAGATCATCTGTACTGAACTCCTGAAACTGCCATATGACGAGTCAGACCTTGATCTATCAAGATCCGGCTTATCAACCCTGACCGGCAGTGGCTCTCCAGGTCCGAAGGGGAGGTCTTCCACATCATCTCCCACCTGATCCTTTTAGCTGGAGATGCTGGGAACTGCTCTGTCACCCAACCACAGCCCCCCACCCCACCATGGGAAAGGGAGAGGAATAAGAACTCCCTTTGCTGAACTCAGAGGCTGAAACAGGAAAGGAGAGCCTGGTCTCTGGCGTAAATCCAGTACACGCATATCCTCCCCCCTCCCACTATATGTGACAGCATACGTGGCTTTTGTTTCCCAGTCATGGGGGGCAGCCCCAAACCACAGCCTGGAAGATTTAGGGTATGGTGGCTCCTTGGGCCTGAATCCAAAAGACGCAACAGGATTTTTTTGTTCCAGCAGGTTCTCTCAGACAGAGGAGAACAGGCAGGGGTGGACCACTCCCAATGGCAGAGGGGACTTTTGCAGGGGCTGAAGCTTCCCCTGGAGAGAGCTGTCCTCTCTGTTTCTGTTCCGCCTCTGCTGGGGAAACAGAGCTGTGCCAGTCCCAGTCCCGTGGCCTCAGAAGGAATCACAGGGAACTTTGGGGAATCCAGTGCCCTCAACAACACGAGACTGGCTCTCTCACCCACTCCTGCGGAGTATCCATGGCCACCAGGGAACCTCCCTGGGAAGAGCAATTGATCCGGCTGGCGTTCCAGGTCGCCTCAGTGTCAGAGAAAAAGTAGCACCGCCCTTGGTTCATAACCCAGCGCTGAGGGCAGGGACTGGCATCCGATGTGGCTGACGTGGTATTCGGTGGGTGGGGAGCAACGGGCAGCAGACACAGCTTTGCTGATGAGTGAAATACAAGTAAGTCATGGTGGACAGACAACCCCAGCACTTGCAGTGGGTGGCAGGGAGAAACTACACCTTTTCCAAGGCTCATCTAAGCAGTGGACATACACACACACACAGTAATATGGAGGAAATGCAAGTTATATAACAAATTATATCTAGCAAGATTTTCATACACTGCAGCAGGGGTCTTGTTGTAGAAAAAGAGCTGCCGGAGCTCATTAGCATAACTCATTAGCATAACTTATTTGCATATGCCACACCCCCTGACATCACCGGAAGTGACAGAAGGCCACACCCCCTGACATCACCGGAAGTGTGTCAGAAGGCCCGGCTACTTACCCTCCTGCTTCATCCTCATTCCCAAACGGAATGAGGATCGAAGCAGAGGGCGGGGGAAAGAAGGGGGCGGAGCTTCACCACGTGACCGCCCCGCCCCCTAGAGGTTCTCTTCCGGAGCTCCGTACCTGAGAGCCCCCCCCCCACTAGAGCCCTGGTCATGCCGGCCACATGACCACGGAAACATCTTCGGACAGCGCTGGCTCTTCGGCTTTGAAATGGAGATTCAGAACATTTTCTATAGGATACAGTGGTCCTTACTTCAAACATTTTAAATTTCAAATTTCATGCCTAATCTATTTTGCAACTATATTATTAATTTCCTCATTACTGCATATTCTATATTATATATTTCATTGCTTCTAGATACTAGCTATAACGTTTAATATACCAAAGCTTAAAGGAAAGTCTATTATATATCTCACATATAAAATAAAAAATAACAAATATTTTTGTTCAGAATCTATTTCCTCATATATTTATATTCAAAGCTTGTTCTCATTCTATTTCTACATTGTAATATATTTATATGCAGAGAAATACATTTATATACAATTTTTAAACAATTTCTCATTCAGAATTTGTCTCCTGCATACATACTAAACACTCCTTCTCTCCTGAAAAAGGTTGTAAATTTTTGCCATGACTGCATAATCAGCAAGGTTTCCCCCCCATTCTTCTAAGCCTTATTTCCATTTTGCTGCACAGGCTATTCTAGCCTCTGTCACCCTACATTTGAATATCTCTTTCAAACTTTTTGGGAACTTATTGTCAGAAGAGCCAATTTGCAGTTGCAGAGTGATCAAAGGACATACAAACAAACCTGTTTACTCAATGGCCGTGAAAAGTATTCCCACTGACACTTGTGCCAGAAAAGCATGAAAGCATCACCCTTAAAATGTATAATGTATCTGTGGTGCCACAGAGATCAGAAACACTCTGAGTCATTTCTTCCGGTCATCTGAGGATTCCTGATCTGAGAAGAGAAGGAAGGTGGGGAGAACGGAGGGGAAGACGGGAGTGAAAGAAAAGGAGTCACCTGCAAACATGTCCGGAGAAGAGTCGGGCAGAGAAATGCCAACATTACAGCCAATGGCTCCCTGATTTAACTGTGCTTTAAATTTCGTACTCCGCCTTGAGACTCAGAGAGAAAGACAAGCTATCAATGAAGCAAATAAAATAAAGTACAAAACAAAAAGTACAATAAAAAGGGGACTCGAGAACTCACCCAACACACAGATATTCAGAGTGACTGAGATCGCCAGGAGAACCAAGAGTCCGATTGTGCTGACCTTCCAGCCGTTGCCATTAGCTAAAAGAGACGAAGAGAGACATTGTGCCATACAGCACCCCTTCTCTGGGGTGTGGAAAGGAAGCCAAAGGGCAGCCCTAAAAGAAGCAGCAGTTTGGCTGCAGGAGGGGGGGGGGCAGTCAAACCAGGACCCCAGCAGACACCAAGAAGCTGGAACAAGAAGTGACTGCTAGTGCACATCTATTCCAGAGTAAAGACCTGCTCAGGAGGAGAGTCGGGGAAGCAGGAAGTGGGTGTGGCAGGGAGGCAGTGGACAAACGGCCGAGGCCTCAGGGACAGTGTGCCAGAGCTGGTTTCCATGCCTGAGGTCTCTGCAGTGCAAGGACACTTGACCCACCCAGGGAGGAAGGTATTCCTGGCTCAGGGGAAGGGGACTGCTGGCTGCTCCAGCCAGGACAGTAGAGGCACAGCTGCCTCAGGGCCTAATCCTGCAGTAAGGGCACAGAGGTCTGGGACTGGAATTAAAGGGCCCTGGAGGGATTGTGTCTCAGGGGGCAGACCTGACGGTTAGGCAGGAAGAGCCAGGGACCAACTGGACAAGGGGTGTCTGGTAAGTAATTTCCCCATCTATGTGTGGGTGTGACCGTTAAACCCTGGAAGGTTGTTAAAGGTGACTTGTACCACTATAAGGGCTGCTGCCTCCCATATGAACCGACCATTTTAGAAGCAGGTGGAGACTTTCATTTTGGTCTGGCAAATCCCCAACAGCGGTTACTGGCCCCTCCTGCTAGTGTTGTTTATGTGTTGTTCACTGAATTATTTTCTACTTTTAACTGTATTTTGAATTGCTCAAATGTTTTAATGTTTCTTTTATGTTCTTCACTTTGTGGACGCTGATTGGGTGGGAAAGTGGCATAAAATTTTTTTAAAGAAATAAATAAGAGACTGCTCTACTTTCCCGGCTGTTGTCGGGGAGGGTAGAAAAAGAGACAATCCCTCTGACCTAGGGAGCTTTCCTGTGCTATTTTTAATACTAAAAGTCCTCAGTTCCAGGACAGCCACCAAGTTGCTGCCCTAGAAGGAGTTCTCTTGCTTTATTGCACACATGTCCAAATGCCTCTTTTCCCTGTGTTGAGATGGCTTGAATCTCACCGTGGATGGCCCTCCGAAGGAGGAGGAGGAGGTGGAGGAGGAGACTGGATTTATACTCCATCCTTCACTCGGAGTCTCAGAGCGTTTACAAACTCCTTTCCCTTCCCCTCCCCACAACAGACACCCTGAGAGGTAGGCGGGGCTGAGAGAGCTCTGACAGAAACTGCCCTTTTTCAAGAACAGCTCTTATCAGAACTATGGCTTGCCCAAGGTCATCCAGCAGCTGCAAGTGGAGGAGTGGGGAATCAAATCCGGTTCTCCCTGATTAGAGTCTGTGCCACTTAGCCACTACACCAAACTGGCTCTCACTGCACCAAACTGGTTTTGCTATTTTGGGTTTCTTTCACCAAGCCGGGTGCCGTATGTCAGTGGATGCTGTGCCAGGACTCAGATTTCTTTCTTTTTTTGGCCCCCTGGAGGGGATTTTTTATTGCATTTTTTAATTAAACTACAAACTACAACGAAAGTAGAGAAAGGGGACTACATTTAAGGAGAAAGAAAAGATTAACCACTACTGACTAAAAACCCAAGAGAGGAGATTATTACAACCGCTTTAGTAAAAAGTTTTTCTTAAAACGCTAGTATCTTTTGAACTTAGTCAGACATGCTAAAATATCTTTAAAGTCTTAAATTTAACTATTAGAGAAAACCCCCAGAGCATCTCATTATTAAAAACTATACTTTCAAAGGCACAAATCAGAGTCCTTCAGCCTTCGTTTTTTCTTATCTTGTCCTCCCCCAATGAGTCGCTCTTATGTGTCCGTTGAGGTATAATTTTTTTAAAATTATTTAGTGTTGTACTTATTTTTTTGTAATTGATAAGAAGGATGGGGAGAGGAAACCAATCTTAGACTTGAGGTCATTAAATAAGTTCTTGTTAAGAGATTTTGCATGCTTTTTTTTACCTTCAGTGATAAATATGCTCCCTAAACATACGTGGTTCACTGTGTTGGACCTCAAAGATGCATATTTTCATATATCAATTCATAGAGATTATTGAAGGTACCTTAGGTTCAGACATGGTGAATGTATTTTTCAATATGCTGTGCTACTGTTTGGTCTCGCCACAGCCCCATGTGTATTCACTAAATGCATGGCAGTAGTAGTGGCTTATCTATGTACAAAAGGCTGCTCACTTCAGATTCCCCAGAATCATTGTCATTTCAGGTTCATCTAGTTACCTCAGGCCTAGCAAGATGTCCTGTGGAAACTAGTACCTAAAGCTTGTTTCCTTCTGGTTTGTTTTCTGTTGCAGAAATCACAAAACAAAAATTGTTTGTAAGAGAGAAGAAGAGATTGGATTTATACCCCATGGCCCTTCACTACCCGAAGGAGTCTCAGAGCGGCTTACAAACTCCTTTCCCTTCCCCTCCCCACAACAGACGCCCGGGAGGTTCGCCGGGCTGAGAAAGCTCTGGCAGAAACTGCTCTTTTTCAAGGACAGCTGTGCCAGAACTATGGCTTGCCCAAGGTCATCCAGCAGGTGCAAGTGGAAGCGTGGGGAATCAAACCCGGTTCTCCCAGATTAGAGTCCCCCCACTTAACCACTACACCAAACTGGCCCCCGGGAGTCCACCCAGGATCTCAAATCTCTACATTGCTCCTCTAGGAAAAAACACCTTCCTTCTTAGGAAGAAACTCACCACAAATGCCTCCCTTCACCAGATGTCCCTGGAGGAACAGCATCTCTTGCTCCGAAGCATTTACCATATGTCCATTTGCAAGGTTCTTCCCTACCGGGTTCTCACAGTCACTTCTCCCTCCTGTTCCCTCAGATAAATCTGCTACCATCCTTCCCTGGAATATTTACATTAGAAATGTGACCCGGGCAGTGTCCCCTCTAAGCTGAGTCAGTGTGAGCTAGCTCACAGTTTTTTAGCCTTGGGCTCACAGATTTTTGCCTTCGCTCAGGAAGGAGGGCTGCAGAGCAAACTTAATTTGTGTAGCAGCCAAATCGCTGGCTCACAACATTAACGCCAGTGGCTCACAAAGTAGAATTTTTGCTCACAGGACTCCACAGAACTCCCCTCTCAGTCAGTCTTAAATAGTCAGCACAGCCGTGAGATTTTGCCTAGACCCTGCCCTCCTTCTGTCTTTAAGAGGTTTACTTTCAAACAGCTGTTCCTGACCCCAGGGCCTGCCTTTCTGGTTGGGGAGTAAAAATAACAGCTGAGTAACAGGCCAGTATTGAGCAAACTTCAGAGGACTGCGGAAGACAGGAGGGCCTGGTGGGATCTGGTCCATGGGGTCGCGAAGAGTCGGACTCGACTGAGCGACTGAACAACAACAACAACAGGCCAGTGGCTCACAAAGTAGAATTTTTGCTGACAGGACTCCACAGCTTAGAGGGAGCTCTGGTCCCGGTACAGCATCATGTCTCTATTTCTGTCATTCAGAAATGTGCAGGCAAGGCGGGCTATAAATAAATAATAAATATCCATACATTTAGGCTCCACAGAACTCCCCTCTCAGTAAGTCTGAAATAGTCAGCACAGCCGTGAGGTTTTGCCTAGACCAGTGTCCCCTCTAAGCTGAGTTGGTGTGAGCTAGCTCACTTTGTTATAGCCTCCGGCTCACACGTTTTTGCCTTAGCTCAGGAAGGAGGGCTCCAGACAGCAAACTGACTTACGCAGCAGCCAAATCGCTCGCTCAGAACTTTAATGCCACTAGCTCACCAAGTAGAATCTTTGCTCACAAGACGCCGCAGCTTAGAGAGGAACATTGGCCTAGACCCTGCCCTCCTTCTGCCCTTATGGGGTTTACTTTCAAACAGCTGCTGCTGACCCCTGGACCTGCCTTTCCCTGCCTTTCTGGTTGGGGAGTGAAAATAACAGCTGCGTAACAGGCTTGCAATGTATTTATGAGTTCTTCGGCTTAGCGGAGGGGCAGGAGGCCTCGCTGCAAGAGAGAAGAGTTGTCCATCCCCTGCACAGGCAGGCACGGTTGTTTTGGAGCTATTCACAGGGGGAGGAGCCTGTACCACTCCCGTCCAATCCCGACCCTCCCACCGGCCAGGCCCCTCCCCGAAACGGGAAAAAGAGGTGTGGCCCCGGGAAGAATGCCACAGTATCTTTGCAGCGGCAGCCCCACCTCCCGTCACGGTCCTGAAGGAGGAGGGGCCTGGCTGGATCCCTTGTGGGGTGGGGGGGTGAAAAGTACTCGGAAACGGAGTGATTCAGCGTGAGTACTTTATTAGATCAGAACAAGACGAAAGACCCCGGCTCGCAGGCCGGTATATAAACACTGAAAACCCACCACCAAACACACCCCCTAGTCACCCTATAGGTTATTTACAGTGGCCGAGAGTCCCGTTGGCTCTCGGCCGCGGACCTGGCCCTCTGATTGGTGCGGGCTAGGATCCGCTTGGCTATTGTTCTCAGGGAACGAAGTTTTAGGCTTGTGCTTGACCGCATGGCCCAACGGTTGCGCACGTGGTAATGGCGGATACATTACAGGAGGGCAAAGGGGGAGGGAGCCTCCCGCCCCTCCGCTAAGCCGAAGAACTCATAAATACATTGCAAGCCTGTTACACAGCTGTTATTTTTACTGCCCAACCAGAAAGGCAGGTCCAGGGGTCAGCAGCAGCTGTTTGAAAGTAAACCCCATAAGGGCAGAAGGAGGGCAGGGTCTAGGCCAATGTTCCTCTCTAAGCTGCGGCGTCTTGTGAGCAAAGATTCTACTTGGTGAGCTAGTGGCATTAAAGTTCTGAGCGAGCGATTTGGCTGCTGCGTAAGTCAGTTTGCTGTCTGGAGCCCTCCTTCCTGAGCTAAGGCAAAAACGTGTGAGCCGGAGGCTATAACAAAGTGAGCTAGCTCACACCAACTCAGCTTAGAGGGGACACTGGTCTAGGCAAAACCTCACGGCTGTGCTGACTATTTCAGACTTACTGAGAGGGGAGTTCTGTGGAGCCTAAATGTATGGATATTTATTATTTATTTATAGCCCGCCTTGCCTGCACATTTCTGAATGACAGAAATAGAGACATGATGCTGTACCGGGACCAGAGCTCCCTCTAAGCTGTGGAGTCCTGTCAGCAAAAATTCTACTTTGTGAGCCACTGGCCTGTTGTTGTTGTTGTTCAGTCGCTCAGTCGAGTCCGACTCTTCGCGACCCCATGGACCAGATCCCACCAGGCCCTCCTGTCTTCCGCAGTCCTCTGAAGTTTGCTCAATACTGGCCTGTTACTCAGCTGTTATTTTTACTCCCCAACCAGAAAGGCAGGCCCTGGGGTCAGGAACAGCTGTTTGAAAGTAAACCTCTTAAAGACAGAAGGAGGGCAGGGTCTAGGCAAAATCTCACGGCTGTGCTGACTATTTAAGACTGACTGAGAGGGGAGTTCTGTGGAGTCCTGTGAGCAAAAATTCTACTTTGTGAGCCACTGGCGTTAATGTTGTGAGCCAGCGATTTGGCTGCTACACAAATTAAGTTTGCTCTGCAGCCCTCCTTCCTGAGCGAAGGCAAAAATCTGTGAGCCCAAGGCTAAAAAACTGTGAGCTAGCTCACACTGACTCAGCTTAGAGGGGACACTGCCCGGGTCACATTTCTAATGTAAATATTCCAGGGAAGGATGGTAGCAGATTTATCTGAGGGAACAGGAGGGAGAAGTGACTGTGAGAACCCGGTAGGGAAGAACCTTGCAAATGGACATATGGTAAATGCTTCGGAGCAAGAGATGCTGTTCCTCCAGGGACATCTGGTGAAGGGAGGCATTTGTGGTGAGTTTCTTCCTAAGAAGGAAGGTGTTTTTTCCTAGAGGAGCAATGTAGAGATTTGAGATCCTGGCCTTTGGGTGGACTCCCGGGGGCCAGTTTAGTGTAGTGGTTAAGTGGGGGGACTCTAATCTGGGAGAACCGGGTTTGATTCCCCACGCTTCCACTTGCACCTGCTGGATGACCTTGGGCAAGCCATAGTTCTGGCACAGCTGTCCTTGAAAAAGAGCAGTTTCTGCCAGAGCTTTCTCAGCCCGGCGAACCTCCCGGGCGTCTGTTGTGGGGAGGGGAAGGGAAAGGAGTTTGTAAGCCGCCAAACCAGAAGGAAACAAGCTGACACAGTCAGGACTTTATTTATTTATTTATTCATTCATTTATTTAATTTAATTTATACTTCTTTGTGCCTGCAGAGGATGTTTTGGTCAGTGACACAGTCAGGACTTTATTTATTTATTCATTTAATTAATTTAATTTAATTTATACTTCTTTGTGCCTGCAGAGGATGTTTTGGTCAGTATATGTATGGATTTGCTTTACTTCTCTGCCTTCTTTCTTGTCTTTCTCACCATTTTGACATTTCCCAGCCAATCAGTGGGGAACCAGGCAAACAGATCTTTGAACCAACATTCTGTGCAGAGTAGACACATCCCGGGGTGGTCCAGATGAAAGCCCTGGCCACCAGACGTAACTTCTGGGCAAAGCTTCCATCCGGACCACCCTGGGATGCGTCTCATGGAGCGCCGTGAGGACTCATTCTTGGTCTGCTTAGGCGCAATGAGGTCCTCAAGCAGCCAGACGGTGTTTATGCCACAGGACCGGAGGAGATGGGCCTTTTTCTTACCCGGGTCTACGATGTAGTCGAAGTAGCCCCCCAGGAACTCGAGCCAGGTCTCCCACTGTGCGGGGCGGGAGATGTCAAAAGTGGCAATGCTTTCCTGGGAGGTAGCCATCATACTGCTGACACGTGGTGCGGGTAGCTCGGGAACTGCGGCGGTGGCTGGAGCGAGGCGGGAAGTGCTGTTGCTCTCGGGGTCAGCAGGACGAGGTACGGAGCGAGGAGTGGAGCGGTGAGGGGCTACCGGAGAACCAGGGTGTGGAGCGGCTTGCGGCAGTCTCGGCGTTGGGCTCGATGCAGTGCTCGAATCTTCGTCTGGGTCGTTGTTCCTGGGAGTTAGAATCCCACCTTCGTTGGCAGTGAAAAGTACTGAGACTTACTAGTGATTTCAGCTCTCATACTTTATTTCAGCTCAGAACAAGACAAAGTAACCAGCTCGCAAACTGGTTTATATGTGCAACAACCCTGCACCCAAAACACACCCATACCCAAGTGATTGGCTATTTACAGTGGCCGAGAGTTCCATAGGCTCTTGGCCGGGAGCCTAGCCTGCTGATAGGTGCCGGCTAGGATCCGCTTGTCTCATTGTTACTGAGAGCGAAGCTCAGCCGCTTCGCTTGACCGCGTGGTGAAATGGCCACGCACGTGGTCTGAGATGGATACATTACAGGGAGTGTACTCTGCACAAGCTTAGCGGACCTTTTTCTCACTCCTTTGTCCATCTGAAGAATCAGGCTGAACAGATCCCAAGTGAGTGCCGGACAGGACATTGGCATCCTTCTCTGTCGAGCTGTTTCTTACCAGCATGCAGACATTATGAATGATAAGATCAAGCATCATAAAAGTATTAACACCTGCGAATACTAGTTTCGTATGAAAACAGGGACAGGACCACAGTTGTACCCCCCACACACACACCCTGCTGCTCTACAACTCACCCTGGGCAGAAAAGTGACCAAGGACTGAGTTTAAATCCAGCCCGCTGAATCCCCACCGTGGCCTCTTTATCCCATTATTGTCTCCTTGTCCTGGTTGTCAGGCACAGGTGGCTGTTCCCCAGTGTTCGAGGATGCTGGTGAGTTGGTTGTGGGAAGCCTGAACCGTCATCTGCCCATGTGCAGAGGCCAATGCTGAGTATCCATCCATCCAATTTTGAGTATCCACATGTTAGAGCTATTATTGGGCCAATGAGGTGGTGTTTTTAAAAACCCTTTAAACAATTTTCTGTTAACTTCTGAAACAGAAAACCGCCAGCGAGACTCAAGGATTTTCTTAGTGCCACCGAGGATCCGTGACCAGCTGTGGGCATCCAGGTGGTCTGATGGTAAGAGTCTAGAGCTTATTTTTCTCCCCAGACACCCTCACCTCTTCCCACAGAAATGAAATATGCCAGTCTTTGAGCTGTTCTGGCTGGCAACCCTGGCACCTTGAGTAAAACAGAGGCAGCTGGCTTGATGAAAGAAACCCAAGATGGCAATGGAGGGCCATCCACAGCGAGATTCAAGACACCCCAACAACGAGAGGAGAGGCATTTCGCCATGTGTGCCATAAAGGAAGCGAACTCATTGTGGGAGAACAGCTTGGTGCCCCAGATTCATAATAATGAGGCGGCTGTCCTGGAACTGACCACATTTAGCATGAAAAATCCCACGGGAGAGCTCCCTAAGTCAGAGGTGTTTATCTCTTTTCTCGCCTCCTCCACAACAGCCGGAAGAGTGGAGCAGTCTCTTATTTATCCCAAACCCTTTTAATGTTCTTTTCCACCCAATCAGGGTCCACAAAGCAGAGAACATAAAATAAACATTAAAACATCTGAGCAATAAAAAATACGGTTAAAAGTATAAAAGAACTCAATGAGCAACACATAAACAACGCTAGCAGGAGGGCCCAGTTAACTGCTGTTGGGGGTATGCTGGACAACTTGCAAGGGGTCTTAACTCTTGGGTAGATGAGTACTAACGGTCAGTTCTTGTTCCTGCTTCTTGGTGACCGCTGGGGTCCTGGTTTGACACACACCCCTTTTCTGCAGCTGGACTGCTGCTTCTTTAAGGGCTGCCCTTTGGCTTCCTTTCCCCCCACCCTGAGATGGGGTGTTGTCTGATGCGACACACATATCTTTATGATGTGATGTCGTTTTTTGTCTCTTTTAGCTAATGGCAACAAATGGAAGTGGAGCACAATTGGACTCTTGGTTCTCCTGGTGATCTCAGTCACTACAAATATCTATGCGCTGGGTGAGTTCTTGAGTCCCCTTTTTTATTGTACTTTTTGTTTTGTTTTGTATTTTATTTTATTTACTTCATTGAAAGCCTGACTTCCTCCTTGAGACTCAAGGCAGAGTACAAAATGTAAAGCACAGTGAAATCAGAGAGCCATTGGCTGTAACGTTGAACATAAGAGAAGCCGATGCTGGATCAGGCCAAAGGCCCATCCAGTCCAATACTCTCTGTCACACAGTGGCCAAAAATACCAGGTGCCATCAGGAGGTCCAGCAGTGGGGCCAGGACACTAGAAGACCTCCCACTCTTGCCCCCCCGGCACCAAGAATACAGAGCATCCCTTGCCCCAGACTGAGAGTTCCCATCTATACCTTGTGGCTAATAGCCACTGATGGACCTCTGCTCCATATGCTTATCCAATTCCCTCTTGCAGCCGTCCATGCTTGTAGCCGCCACCACCTCCTGTGGCAGTGAATTCCATGTGTTAATCCCTCTTCGAGTGAAGAAGGACTTCCCTTTATCTGTTCTAACCCAACTGCCCAGCAATTTCATTGAGTGCATTTTATTAGCATTTCTCTGCCTGCCTCTTCTCTGGACATGTTAGTACATGGCTCCTTTGCCAGCCCCTCTGTCTGTGTGGCTCCTTTTCTTTCACTCCCGTCTCCCCCTCCATTCTCCCCACCACCCTTCTCTTCTCAGATCAGGAATCCACAGATGACCGGAAGAAATGAGTCAGAATGTTTCTGATCTAGGTGGCACCACAGATATATTATACATTTTAAAGCATTATGCTTTCATATTCTTCCATCACAAATGTCGAAGGGAACGTGATATACTTTTCATGGCCACTGGGTAAACGGTTCTGATTGTGTGTCCTTTGATCACTCTGCGGTTCACCTGCAAATTGGTTCTTCTGCAGATGGGAAGCAGAAACTTCAGGAGCAAAACAGTGGCGATTCCATTTGAAAAATCCTGTTGCAAACCTTGATTGGGAATCACTGTTTAATGGTGGGAGTTTGACCCCCTTTGAGTTTTCGGCTAAACATCAGGAAGAACTTCCTCACAGTAAAAGAGCGGTTCCTCAGTGAAACAGGCTTCCTCGGGAGGTGGTGGGCTCTCTTTCTTTGGAGGTTTTCAAAGAGAGGCTAGATGGCCATCTGGCAGCAATGCTGTTTGCGTGAACTTGGGCAGATCGTGAGAGGGAGGGCAGGAAGGGTTGCCTCAGTGCTTAGTTCTTGTGGCCCTTTCTTACACGCCCAGGGAAATGCTGATCCATCACCTTGGGGTCAGGAAGCAAATTTTCTCCAGGCTGGTTTGGCCAGGGAGCCTGGTTTTTGGTCATCTGGGCATGGAACAGCAGTCACTGTGGGTGTGGAGGGGGAGGTATTTGTGAATTTCCTGCATTGTGCAGGGGATTGGACTAGATGACCTTGTTATGCCAATAAAGGTCTATGTATGTGTGTGACTAGATGACCCTGGAGGTCCCTTCCAACTCTTATGATTCTTTGATTCTTGAGGAGGGGCTGTGGATCAGTGGCAGAGCCTCTGCTTGGCATGCCGAAGATCCCAGGTTCAATCCCTGGCACTTCCAGTTGTGAAAGGACCAGACAGCAGGTGATGTGGAAGTCTCCTGCCTGAGACCCTGGGCTGCTAGCTGGAGTAGCCAATACTAACTTCAGTGGTCCGATGTTCCTCCAGTCCACTGCTTACATGAGTTTTGGAAAAGGTTCAATTTCTCCCTGCCATCAACAGCAGGTGCTGGGGTTGTCTGTCCAGCATGACATGCTTGTATTTCACTCATCAGCAAAGCTGTGTCAGCGGCCTGCTGCTCTCCGGCCACGGGATACCATGTCATCCTCATCGGATGCCAGTCCCTGCCCTCAGCGCTGGGTTATGAATCAAGGGCGGTGCTACTTTTTCTCTGACACTGAGGCGACCTGGAACGCCAGCTGGACGGATTGCTCTTCCCATGGAGGTTCCCTGGTGGCCATGGATACTCCGCAGGAGTGGGTGAGAGAGACATTCATGCTCCAAGTGACTATGAGGCTAGCGCGTTCCTGTCAGTAGAGACATTCGATTGGGGGTCTCTGTGTTGGTGTAGCGTGCCTGCCCACACAAGTGGTATTGGGGTTGCTAGAAGTATCCAGCGAAGTAACAGTCCAAACAGTCTTGTGTAAAACTATATACAGATTTATTTACACAAGCTATATACATCAAGATACGCACTGACAGAGTGCTTCGCCATACACAGGTACATCGGTAGGAAGATACTCTGCACAATGCATGAACACTTATATACAAGTAGTAGCCAATCAGGTAAAGACTGCTTAGTCATTCTGACTTGGTCACTCAGTCCAAGACAGAACAGGACAGAACCAGTTCATTCCTGTTGAGATGACTTGAGATGACTGCCTAGAACTGTCAAGTCAATCAACCTCATCACCAGCTTATGTCTTATTGCAGCAAGTGAAAGCTGACACTCTGAGCTTGTGCCGTGGCGTCCCCCAACACCATTCCTGGTGTTTATCAAGGGTTTTTACAAAGTGGGCAGGTCCAGACGGGGCTTTGGTCCAGCAAGGCTTCTGATTGGCCTTCAGAGTTTTGATTGGCAGCTTAAAAAACATTGCTTTGGACAGGGCTTTTTCTCTGGGGGAATGTGCTGGAACAGAGTTCCGGAACCTCTTCAACAGAATTATTTTAAAAATGTATAAAAGTTAATGAGTTTACAGTATACAGATTGAGAACTTCATTTCCCTCTTGAGAATTCCGGTACCCCTTTTTCAAAGCAGTTGCCACCACAGCACAAGGATCTTCACTGTGTGGTTGACAATAAGCTGTGGCAGCCATTTTGTGGCTTGCTTCGTCTCCTGCGGCAGCCATTTTGTGGCCATGCCCACCACTATGTCTCCACATTCCCAAGGTGCCCGAAGGCTCAAAAAGGTTGGGGACCCCTGCCTTAGATGAGAGTTAGGAATGGTGAGGTCTTCAGGTGGCGATGCAGGGTCTTTGCTCTGGGTGTCTGGCGGAGTTGGTGATAGGGATACGGGCAGCCAACAGCAGCCAAGTAGAGGCCAGGCTGAAGTTGTCCTGCTTCATGAAGGCTGCAACCCAGAGCCCTTCTCCTTGACTGTATTGAGAGCCAGTTTGGTGCAGTGGTTAAGTGTGTGGGCTCTGGGAGAACCAGGTTTGAATCCCCACACCGCCACTTGCAGCTGCTGGATGACCTTGGGCAAGCCACAGTTCTGTCAGAGCTGTCCTTGAAAGAGCAGTTTCTGTCAGAGCTCTCTCAGCCCCACCTACCTCGCAGGGTGTCTGTTGTGGGGAGGGGAAGGGAAAGAAGTTTGTAAGCCACTCTGAGACTCCGAGTGAAGGGCAGGGGATAAATCCAATCTCTTCTTCTTCTACTTGGTTCCAGGGGCACGGCCTTTCTTCTGCACCCTCCCTGTGGACTGCAGCTTAGCAGACTGCGATGAAGGCAAATCCCCTTGCCCGGTGTGTGGCCAACCAGCCTGTCAGAAACAGCCCAACAGTTAAAACAGTGTCGCCAGGAAAGCTGTACTAAACTGTCCCATGGAAGGGAATGCCAGCAGAGTTGGGCAAGGTGGAGCTTTGGGGAAGAGCTCAGAAGCCACAGCGCCACAATAATGGCAAGACTGTGGGGCTGCCCTAGATGACCGTCCAAGTGCTTTTGTTGGTGCTGAGCAAAGCCGTTGTGGCACGTCCAGGGCAGTGTTCCCTCTAAGCTGAGATTGTGGCACGTCCAGGGTCTGGTTTCCCCCCATAATTCCCATAGCAACTTCTGCAGCTCTGCGGGTTAGAGGCCGCCACCAGATGTATCTCTGCCCTTCCCCAAGTGTTGCTGCAGAACGTCTAGATGGATGCTTTAATCAGTCTTGAGTGTCTACCTCAAATCTGTGGTGGCCTCCTTCTCCCTCTCTCCCCCAATTTATGTTGTCTCTGACATGCACCTGAGACAGCCACCGCATTTGGAAGTCTCTGAATGGGCTGGATTTTTAAAGGGTGTGTTTTGTTCCTCAACACCATCAAATGAATGTTGTGGCATAAAACATATTGCAATCTTAACATTTACCTATACAGTAGATTTCTTTTAAAGGACGTGAATTCTTTGTTTTCCAAAGGATTTTGTAAGTCAGTCTAAAAGACCAAGGTATTATTGGATTGGCCTCTGGAGGACAGGAGCAGGAGAACTTTGGAAAAGGGCGAATGGGTCCCTCTTCAACAACAGGTGAGTGCGCATCTCTCGTTCTGAACTTTGAGCCCCATGACCTGAGACCCTGTCAGTAATAGGGGGGGAGGAGGCAGAGAATGTTTTTGGTAAACTTTCACTTCTGGGGTGCAGATCCCACCTGCAGAGTTCTTTGCTTGTTTCCCAGCACATTGCAGGATCCATGTTTTTAAGCCCTTGAAGCAGTTCAGGAATTATGTTTCCTGTGTCTAGTTTCCAAATGTTTAGATATCTTCGCAAAACCAGGGACCTCCCCTCCCTAGCTGAGATTTGGTCAAGAGGGGGAGCCACATCAAAAAGTTGGCAGATTGCTTTCACTCTTCCTGAAGGTGGCTGCAGAAATGCAATTGATTCTGCTTTTGTAGTCGTCTGGGAGGGGAGGGGAGGACAGCACTGGCTCTTGAAAGAGTCCCAATAGATGGCCTTTAACCCCCCGGGGGGGGCTGCAAAAATTAGACCTACAGAGACTAGGGGAGGGAAAAATCCCACTTCCCCTCCACTGCCCACCCTCCTGCTTTTTTCGCCCCTACTCCAGTCCCGTCTTTCTGCCCACCTTCCTGCTTTCCCCTCACCTTGGTATGCCTCTCATTGCTTAGCTTTGTTTTAGATTGTGTTGTGACAACCTGCAAGGCCAGCCCCGATTTTTCTGGTGTGTGTAGGTGGTGTTTCTATCAATCTATAGGGGATTTCAGTGCCACAGCTTTTTCATATTTTCCTGCACAACCCTGGGTTTTCTCCTAGTTTCTTGAAACATCTCCCCTGTCCATATGTGGCCCCATGGTGCAGGATTTTTGATCCGTATTCTGGGACCAAGTGTGGAATTGGCACACCACAAAGGTAAGCTCTGGCTCTCCCTGTGGGGTGACCTTCTTGCAGGTTTCCAGTGAGAGGCGAAGGACTTTGCGCTTACCTGAATAAAGATGAGGTCAGCTCGACATGGTGTGACAAGCACCGATACTGGATCTGCAGCAAGCATCTACAGGGAAACATGTGAAGGACATACTAAGTCCGGATGGAGGAATCCATCCTGGATGTAAAGCACTCCCGAGAATGTAAATGAGCACTCCTGAGACTACTCACCCGAGGCATCTGTCTCCAACAGCATTCTCATGTGCAGTTTATTCACAAAACCACAAGCTTGCATTATTTTAATAATAATGGGAAGAAGCTTTTTGTGTACACTTGTGTAGCATAACAGGATTCGAGTGATTTGGCATTAGCCTCCTCATGAGGCTAATGAAGGGCTCAAAGGCTGGAGTGTCGGCCTGTATGTGCTGAGAACGCTTGACATATTCCAGAGTTTCAGAACTTAGTGCCCAGATGTTGGCCCTTGTGGTTTTCCTGCCCTGACTGAGTCGGCCAGAACTGCCACTGGTTCCCATGAGGGGTGAGGACAGCTCCATTAGGCCTCCTCCTCTGCCTCCTCCTCCTCTGGGGGTTTTAGCTACCATCAAGCTAGCAGTCTTTGGGAAAACCTACAGAGCAGGAGTAGCTCTGGGCTCAGAAATTGTCAAAACCAACGTCAGCAGCATTCAGGTGGTGTGTGTCTGGAGTCGGTTTGCCTTTGAAGGCCTGAACGGTAGACAGGCATCGATCGTCAAAGTGACTATGATGTTGTTAAGTTAATGATGTATGCTGATGTACCTTGGCCAGAGATTCTCTGAAAAAGCAGAGTATTGGAGTTCAAGATTTAAACGTTTGAAGAAATATTCATTTGAGATCTCCAGTGGAGCATTTGCTGTTAAAATTTGCTGTTAGAATTATGTTCGATTTCATTTAAAAATTTCCATAAGAATGTAGGTATTAAGAGCCCTGTTAAAGATAGTGATGTGATGAAACATTCTTTTAAATTTTTTTAAAGGATGCCCGCACGCCGGGAGGGCGGGGTATAAATGAAATAAAATGAATAAATAAATAAATGAACTTTAAAAAAAATTATTCTAAGGGTAAGGAAGCTATTTTATGTACAGGTTCTTTGCGTGTGCCATTTCTGCTTGGTGGTGTAACATATACATGATCATTGTGTTTCATCTTGATTGTGTCTTTGAATGCCAACCTAATAATAACAGGTATATTTGGGCCTCTTCTGGATGTGCCGCAAAGCACTCTGGGAGTCTGCAGGTGTCATGATGGGGGGGGGGCTATGAGGCTGAACGACCAGCATATCCAGAAACCCAGCCGTGTGGCGTCTCACCTCTCAATTCCGTGGCCATAATATTGGGCTATGGGGGCTTAGATCTTTTCTCTCCTTTGTGTCCTAGTTCCCCAGCTAGAAGTTGTCCCCCAGTGCAAAGGGGGAGGGAAACTTCCCCTCTATAACTACAAGTATTATTCTGGGTGGTAGTGGGGGTTTCTGTTAGGTAAATGGCACAAGAGGGGAGGCCGGAACAACCTGGGGTAAAAAGCTAAACTTCTCCACCACCTGCACTGAGACCCCAAACTAGGGTTCCCCGTGACTGCATTTAGACATCAAGAAAGCCGAAGCAGAGCTTTTCTCTGGAAGGGGGGGGGGTCTGGCCCCTCCCTGGGACCCTCTGGGTGTCTTTTTCTGAACACCACACAAGCTTGGGGGGGGATTCTCCCTGGAGCCCCTTGGAAAAGAAGGGCAGTGTGCAACATTTCGTAGGAGAACAATCCTAGAAGGGGTCTACTCAGGAAAGCGTGCTCGGGATTGCAGAGGGAGTCTGCAAAGCAGGAGTCCCCAACCTTTCTGAGCCTGCGGGCACATTTGGAATTCTGACACGACATGGTCAGCCCAGCCACCAAATGGCTGCTGCAGATCTTTTTTAATTTAAATTTGTATTGGAATTTTATAAATTTACATTCAGAACACCAATCAATACAGTGCAGTAAGAGTGCGTTGACATAATCAGTGGGTACCTGAGAGGATTAAATCACAGCCCTTAGGTGATATCATACGGTGAGAGTGTGTTGACACAAACCCTTAGATACCAATGTAACATAGATCTGTAATTGACCACTGTAACACAGACATCATTGTAGCATTAGGTCAAGAGAGAATAGTGAACTATGGGCCCCATTATAAATAGGTGCATCAGAACTAGTTATGAGGAATTAGCCATTTGTGAAATATTGGGTTGGCCGGGATTATATTCTGAGTTTGCATAAAGGAGACAATTGGAAGCCAAGTTAACTCAGATTTGGAGTGGTGTGTTGCAGTTGTTTCAGACTTGTGAAGCGAGTCTGTAATTTTTGCTATTATATAGTGTTCCCACAGTTTGTCATGCCACCCAGAGACTAATGGAGCGAAGGGAGATTTCCATGCTGCCGCAATTGTCAAGCGCGCATGTCACGACTCAGGTGGGGTGTCACCTGACGCTGCCACCACTCTGGATTTAGGTTCCCTTGAGAAGGCCCAGAGGACCCTGCCAAGACCTTCAGACCTCCCTTATTTGGCCGAATAACACGCGTGAGGACCAGGCAGAGTAAAACAAGG